CTTCTCTGGGAAGGAGCTTCCCAACCCACCCCACACATACACTTTTATATAACGCCATGATTTAGGAACTTTCCCTTCTCTTGCCAGGGACTCAAATCCCTTCCTTTGTTCTCTGTCTGGCCCCTTGTTCCCTCATGACGGGTCACATGCCCCATGGAGCGCCGGAGCTTTCCGAGGATTACCGGGGAAGCACGTTCCTGCCAAAGTTGGCCTCTTCTGTTTTGCGGGGCCCTTCCTTGACAAGCTAAGCCTCACGGCATGTGTCCTAAGCAACCGGGCATGGAAAGACCAACCTGGAGAACCTGCCTCGGCAACTTTGGTGACATCTTTCCATCAGGGAACAAAAAGTGCTGCATAGTCTTCTCCCGTTGGATAGTCTTCTTCCATTGCTTGTGAGAAGATGGGCACCTTGAGGTACATGACGTGCGCAAGCGACGTAAGTGTAACAATGGCCACAAAGACCATGTAGGGAGTGTAAAAGGAAGGTCATGGCCACCATAGGGGAGTCAGGACCATCTGTGATGATTTTGAAGGAGCATCTAGATTTCTAGAGAACATTCTAGTTCATTCGTTCCCAAACTTTGGTCCTCCAGGAGTCTGGGACTTCAACTTCCAGAAGTCCAAGCCAATCAATCAATCAATATTTATTTATTTACAGTCAATAGACCCATCGAGGCAGACAACAACTGAGATCAACCAAATAGAAAGCTTGCATATCACATAAAACAATATAAAGTAGAGAGATCAATATAAAGTAGAGAAATACAGAATGTTAAGCATAAAATTAAGCAGTCAGATTAGAATACAACATTGGAGAGTCAAACAAAAATCATAGAATCATAGAGTTGGAAGCAGCAAACAGTGATACTGTATAATGCAAACCAAACCCTGCTGTTGTGGCTAAACTGGGAAACAAAGGTTTATGCTTTCCTCCAAAGCAAAATTGAAGCCAGGATCAAACCACGGTTTGCCATTCTGGTCTGGAGCGCAATTTCAAACCAAAGTAATAGCCCAGTTGGGATATAATGGTAGTAGCTCATTGAAGCTGAGCATGGAAAGACAGAAAGGAGGAAGGGAGAAAAGAAAGCAGGAGCTTATGGCTTGTTTCCAATCCTCCAAACCATGGAAACTTTAGATTGGAAGTGATCCTCTGTTGTCTTAAACCGTGAATGTCTAACAAGGGATCTCATGGTAGTGGCTATTATTTACCTGTTATACCAACTGTATCCGCAGATGCCAGCAAGTGATGTTTCCATGTCTTGAAAAAATTAACTCACCTATTACATGTTTAAATATTTGAAGGGATCTCATATTGAGGAGGGAGCAAGCTTGTTTTCTGCTGCTCCAGAGAATAGGACTTGGAACAACAGATGCAAGCTACAGGAAAAGAGATTCCAGCTCAACATTAGGAGGAACTTCCTGACAGTAAGGGCAGTTCGACAATGGAACACACTCCCTCGGAGAGTAGTGGAGTCTCCTTCCTTGGAGGTCTTTAAGCAGAGGCTGGATGGCCATCTGTCAGGGATGCTTTGATTGGGAGTTCCTGCATGGCAGGGGGTTGGATTGGATGGCCCTTAGGGTCTCTTCCAACTCTATGATTCTATGATTCTATGATTCTGCTCTAGATCACAATATCAGGTGAGGCCAGGTCAAGTTGGTATGTTTAATTTGCAACTTGAGAATCATTGCTAAGGCTGCCAAGTCCAGTCGTCTCCACTTGGTACACTTGGCATAAGGTGCTACAAGATCTCTCTAGAACAGTTTCCCCGTTACATCACTTTGATGCCGCTTTAAATGCCATAGCTCATCCTATGGAATTCTTTGGGTTTGTAGTCTGGTGAGATACTTAAGATTTCTCTCTCTGAGAGCTGTACCGTTCTAGTTCAAAGGAACCTAGCAGAGCTTCCTAGCAGAGAATTCTAAGTACTTCAGCAAACTATACATCCTTATGGGGTTTTATTGTTGGGGGGGGGATATTGTTGTTATGGGTTTTTTATATATATTTTATGTTTTGTATTTTTATATTACTTGTTATCCCACTTCGATCCTCAGGGAGAGGCGGGAAATACAAATAAAAATTATTATTATTATTATTATTATTATTATTATTATTATTATTATTATTATTATTATTCTGTAGGATGGAAGCAGGGCAGCTAAAGTGATATTAAAGTATTATAATTGTGTAGTGTGAAAATATATATATATATACTCATGGTCACCTGGAGGACTTCAACCTCGCCTGAAACCAATTTATGAATGTTCAAGGGGTTGAGGCAAGAATTTTAATAAGCTCTAAGGTTTTTGCCACCCCCACACTCTGCCCAGAAAAGTAATGCCAGCTGTATTTTTTACTGTTGGGTTGGGCTCCTACATTACCCCGGCGAGACACCAAAAGCCATTATTAATTTTATTGTCCTTTTAATTCATATTCTCCCTCCCTTTTCCTTTCTGCCATCCATGTTTGCCAAGTCCTCCAGGGTACAGCTAGGATGGAGGGCAAGGGAAGAAAAAATAAAATGGAGAATTCTGATTTGGAGAATGATCTGTTTTTAATATTGCAATAGTTCAATGCCATTGTAAATGCCATTTTTGTAAGTTTTTTTTTATTGTACTGTGTTTTTAGACTGTAAGCCGCATTGGGTCCCAATTCTGGGAGAAAAGTGGGATACATAATAATAATAATAATAATAATAATAATAATAATAATAATACTGTTGAAAAAGTAGGGTTGCCATTTCAGGATCCTCTCCTGCCCTGTTTTCTAGGCAAAAAGATAAAGCAGGGCTTGGACTTTCATTCCTTGTTGCTATTGTCATTTTTTATGCTTTTGTTTTTAACTGATTGTAACTTTATGACAGTTTATTTGCTTTTTAACTTTTGTATCCTGTGAAATTTTAACTTTGTTGTTGTGTGCCTTCAAGTCATTTCCGAGTTAGGGATGCCTGAAGGCAAATCTATCTTGGGGTTTTCTTGGCAAGATTTGTTCAGAGGAGATTTGCCATTGCCTTCCCTTGAGGCTGAGAGAGTGTGACTTGCCCAAGGTCACCTAGTGGGTTTCATGGCCAAGCCAGGAATTGAACCCTAGCCTCCAGAGTTATATCCAACATTTAAACCACCATGCTGGCTCCCAAATTTTTAACTGTGTTTCTTTTAATTGTTTTAAGCCACTTTGAGTCTCATAGGCTACATCCGCACTGCAGAAATAATCCAGTTTGACACTGCTTTAACTGCCATGGCTCAGTGCTGTGGAATCCTGGGAATTTTTCTTTGTTGTGGCACCAGAGTGCTCTGACAGAGAAGGCTAAATGCCTCACAAAACTACAGTTCCCATCATTCCATAGCAGTGAGCCATAGCAGTTAAAGCAGTGTCAAACTGGATTACTTTTGCAGTGCGGATGCATCCCTTCTGGGCAAAAGGCAGGGGATAAACAGAAGAAGGAAGAGGAGATAATGATCTAATAAATAAATGCCTATGAAAGATGTGGCTGAAACTGCACATTATTCCCAATTTTTCGCCTTCTGGGACAGCTAGCCAGTTTCAACTTGTGCAATTTCTAAATCCACAACTTCTCTACAGACATTTACTGGAAAAGGCTCTCCAGGACAATAGTTTCTTTGACCATCTAATTAGGGATCGAATCACTATCAAGGCGACATCTTGGTGATTTGACAACCCCTGATAAGCAAACACAATCCATTGTGTGTTAAAGGAGCTACACACTGAAATCAACATCATGGAAATGAATCGGTGCAGCCCAATTGCTTCCCCTGCCAACTGGCCAAGAATGGTTTCCTATCTCTGAAATGGGAACAGATTACTCACTTCCAACTTGTGCCCACTAGTCAAAAAGTCCATTACAAGCCTTCGCCATAACACCATCCCTAACCTATTCTCCTTTGTCTCGCAGTATATATATATATATATATATATATATATATATATATAT